AAGTTCAGAAAGTTAATTGTGCAGCTGCGTGGCATGTTATTTGTAGATGTCGGCTTCAGTAGCCCGACAAATGGAAATTTGCTGGTGCTCGAAAAAGGCCCCACCAGAAGAACTGAATTTGAAATTTTTTACTCGCACATGAGTAAGGAATGTTCTCACAAAGTTTCAGCTTTCTAGCTTTTCTCGTCCCCGAGCAGTTATCCAGCCAAAATTTTCACATGCCCGTACGTGTGTACCCGGCGGTTCTAAAGAGCTGACTTGAAAACTTTTGGTCGTACGTGAGTAAGGAACATTCTCCTGAAATTCCATTTTACTAGTTTTTCTCGTCAGTGAGTTAACAATTTTCCCGCCAAAACTTTCACGTGTCCGTATGTGAGATGTAAACGTATGTGGCAATTAATATGACGTCCCTGGGGTCCCACTTGGCCAAGAAGCCTACTGGCAAAACTCTAGCATCAAAGCTTGCGTGGTTTGCGAGTAAAAATACCCGGACAGACGAACATACACAAACACACACGTACCCATACAGACAAGGTGGCCGCAATATACCGGCCAAAACGCATAAAAATCACTGAAAATTCTCGAAACATAATTATTTTGAATGCAACTTAAATTAACACGACGAAAATGCTTACCGACCCAAATTGCTGATCGTCAGGAAGATTTTTTCTGAACAGATAAATGAAAAAGTCTATAAATTTATTGATACTTATCATCGTCTCCTTTCCATTCAGTGTACTCAGCACGCTAAAAAAGGATTTCAAAGATTGCCAGCAACATTGCAAACAGATCGCTTTAACAACTAACTTTCTCCTTTTTTTTAAATATTTTTTTTTCTGGAACCACGCGGAAAATCAAGTAATTTGCGGCGCGCATGACTTTTTGCATAACCAATCACAAAGCCATCTACCTCAACTTCTGTATATTCGCACTTGAAATTTTTATTTAGGTATATTTACCTGCATAGAGTCTTGTACCTTTCCCTCAAAATTTCAGCTTTCAAGCTGGTCTGGTTTTCGAATTACAAGGTCCCAGCTCTGAATTCCATGTTTTTCTTAAGTGAGATTTAGGACAAGTGAAAGTTGCTTTCACGTACACTTAGCCGCACGCTGCATCCGGCCCGTTAACGTCAAACTCTACATGCTGCGTGGCCGGACCATATCGTGCCAGGTTGTGCTCTATTTTATTAGTTACTGGTCCGGATCGTTTTCTCGCCGTACTAAGACGAACTTGGTATATTGCAGTTAGGTTTGAGCTCACTAATACCCACTTGGACGGGGAACGTTCCTTAAAGATTTCAGCTTTCTTGAGTAGGGGCGCTTCATGCACAATAATAATTCCACGCTCCTTTTTTAGGCTTATCTAGTATCGCTTTCTCGTCAATATTCATATATGAGAAGAAGGGTAACAATGTCTATTTTATGCCTTGGAGCAAATTTTACAGGGGCCAAATTCCTCTAAATTGCCAAATTCCTACTTCATAGCCTCTCTAGACCCAGAAATTGGAAAATGTGGATATATACACACAAACAAATACACACTCTCAAACCATACAACATCGCAGTATGCGTTTTTGCATTGCATAGAGATAAAAAGAACACGAAAAACGCATAAAAAAGCTGATGAAGAGGGAGATGAAATGCGGCAGCAATGCGGAAGAACTTACGTAAAAACGACGGGATGCACCTTCTTCAACTCATATAGCATATTATATACATAACAGAGCATCAGCAGTCTCCTGTCACATGTGAATATCTTGAGCAGTTGCTCGTCGGCTGCCAACCCATGCGAATAAATGATATCTAAAAACACATTCCGGATGCAGCGAACGAAAAAAGCTGAACAGAAGAAGAGTGGACGGACAAAAGCTGGGCCGAAATGGCATAAACACCAAAGAAAAGCCACCAAAAACTAGGAAAATCAAAACAGTGAGGACAAAGCATATCAAAAAAAATACACAAAAGTGATTTTCATAAAAACTAACAAATTCCCTTTCTGCTGAGCATTGCTCATAAGGGTCGCTGGTAAGGCAATGACTGAAAAATTATGCTCTCAAGGATCCCGAAATATCGATGACAAGGAATTCAAAAGTCCTCGACTCATACAGTTGTTTTTCAAAAAAAATCTTTGTTCTAGGAAGAAAAAAGTCGATGATTCCGGGGCAAACTGCATACCACTCACACTGAATTCCACGCCGGCAATTCGAACAGTCCATGCTAATCACAGTCAAAACATAACAGCAATTCCAACTTTTTTTCAAGCAGTAATTTTTTCGAAAAAAAGCCAAACGAACCTTGCATTTGGCGTACGTCTTGTGTGATCAGGGCCAGTACCTCTTCCCACATCACTGTATCCGTATTACTACCGTCATCCACGGTGCAGCCAACAAGTTGCGCACTGAACGTTCGATTGATCGTGACCGGCCAGCAGAAATTTGCATTGCAACGCTGCATCACATCCGAAGTCATTTCCATGCCTGCATAAAACCCACAGTCATAATTTATGTGAAAAAAAAACTTTTAATGAATATTTCAGGAATACGAAAACAAGAATAACAGGACCTCTTTCGCAGTGGACGAGAGGATTCCGTGTACAGAAAATTTCTGTTCCCCCTACCAATATGTAAAAGCAAAGAAAATGAGCAGCAAATTTTACAAAAAGAAAAAAAAAACCAGAAAAATTGGTGTATTTCAAAATGAAATCAGCAATAAAAAGATATTTCCTGCCAACTCACCGGTCATTTTCAGAGCTCTGAGCATACAGAGGATTACACCTCGCAAAATTTCAAATGATACATGCAGATTGGTGTATTGGCGTTCCGGTGGAGCACCGCCACGCTGCTGATCACAGAATCCGGGAGTTGTGGTGTTGAATATGGCTGCTAACTTGCCTTGCTTACCTGTAAACGTTTGTCACGCTATTTATGCGATAGGCAGAAATCTCAAGTTTTAGATGTGTAAAACATAGGCTGATCAACCGCATTTTCATGCAAAATCTCACACAAACGGGCCATTTATCGATGGACAACGTGGGCTACAAGATGATGATACCTTAGGATTGTACGAAAACAGTGAAATGGAACATCACTGGGATAATCATTGGAATGTACCAACTGATTCAGAAAATGGAAAGGAAGCCACTTCAGACAATTTTTCAACAAAGGACACAGTGCTGAAGGGCAGAATTTCGGTATATCGAAGTAAAAAAAAAAAGAAACTGACCAAGTAATGTGTTGCACAATACAAGCATATCTTGCGGTGTATTCCACATCCAATAGCGCAAAATAACCTGCTCCAGGGCCACACACAATGCAACGTTCATCTGTACTTGAGCACATCCAAGTGCTGTGTAGCAGGAGAGGATTAAGCTAACCTTAAAAAATATTACAATTTTACAGAAAATACGGCAATTTTTCATCAAATTTTAAATTTAAAAAGTAATATCTGAGAAGAAATAAAAGACAGTGGCGCATATACATCAAGCACGGAGTAGGCACTAACTGAAGATATGCAGTTCGGAATGAAGCTGGACGTACTATGTTGTGTGTGTGTGTGTGTCTACGTACGTGTGCGTGTGTATGTGTGTGTGCATGTGTGTGTGTGTGTGTACGTGTGTGTGAGCATCTCAGTAACATCACTTGCATGGATAATAAAAAGGTGTTTTGAGGCAGGAAGAAAAACAGAAGAAAAAATAATACTAAGAAATTGGTAGAAATAAAATTTTTTTTATAAAACTAATATAATGGTAAGAAATGTTTCAGCCCATTAAGTCGTATACACTTCTTACCATTACCACAATTGGACCTCGTCAGAACATTATGATCACTTGGACAACCACAATGACTG